ATTGCCTTCGCTCCCGCACTCATCTTCTGTCTCTCTTTTTCTTACTCTTTCTTAAAAGAAAACCGCTCCGGAATCCGCGTCTCGGAATGCGAGGCGACGAGACTCGGCTTAGCACGAACGCAACCTGTCCACACTGTTTTCCCCCACCAGTGGACCTGCTGATCCTCCTAACTCAACATACCCATCCCTCCCCAGCTCGAAGCGATACAAACATGATTGCACTAACACCAAAGAATATACGCCATCATTTGCTACTTCGTATAACCGTATATGCATAATGCGTCGTTTCTCAACGCTTGGCTTCTTATTATTCGTTTGTATGTATATAATGCTCGTTTTGTATTTACCAAGAGACAGAAATTATTCTGTTGATTCTGGTGAATGGAGGAAAAAAAATATTCATATAATTTTTTCTTGTTGAAAATTATACGAATTAATTTCTGGAATTATCGTACGTGATTGTACGTATCAATTTTTCTGTTCACCATATGGCGAAGATTAAAAGAATGCAAGATCGATTGAGGACATTGTAAAAAGGCAACATTTTGATGAGAACCGACGTAAAATGCCTACTTAAAATACGAAGATTCTGCTGAGCACAAATGGAATCTGTCCACGCTATTTCCTCTACCATCTCTCCCTCCTATTTCCCCTTCACCTCCTTTTCTACACTGTGCTCTACCTGGGTGTGAGTGCTCGCACACCAACACCGCGAGTATCTATATTTGTCGGATCCGTGCCTAAGATGTGTGGATACCAACACTCCTCACTGCCGCGTCGTACATGCAACACGGTTTCGCTTATTTATCCTACACATGTGCACTCGATATGTGTAGATACAGCACGCGTCTTATTTACCGAGCGACAGAGGAAGAAAGAACGATATCGAGAGAGAAAGAGGAATAGAGTGATAGCGCCGCGGACGACACGAGCTATTTTTCAAACTCGATGCACGTCTAAGCGATGATCAGCTTTAGCGACGATCCGAGCATCTGGTGGAAAAGATACGTTTGTGGCTATCCGTGCGAAATTGAGAATTTAATCTGCACGCGAATTCTTTTAGAATGATCAACTTTTCCTCCGCCTTCTCTTTTTGCAAACAACGACTAAAAATTCCAAAACATTGACAGCGTAATTTTAATCTCGCGAAATAAAATGACAAAACAGAGGCGACATCGAGAGTACTTACAAACGTATCAGCTTAGCCCGTTGATTTCTCGAATGAAAACAAGCGATTTTTTTACGGTTCAAGTTGTATATATATATATAAATATGAATATCATTGCGTCGTTAACATATACACTTCACTATCGCATACACGAGAATACATCACATACTATCGCATACTATCAATCATCACACGAGCACAATTTCTGGTATCTTTTGGTTCCGTGAGCCGTGCGACATACGTTGTGAATACACGCGCGAGAAACATGCCCCTCCGCCTCTTTCGTTTCGCATTGCCGGGCATACAGGCCACGTTCTGTTTTCTTGTGCACAGTCGCAACACCACCGATCATTCCCTAGGAATAAGGTCGTTCACAAGATCGTGCCAAGAAACACTACCAAGAAAACGACCGTTATTTGCGAGTCTATACTCCTCTGATCGCGCTTAACGACACTTTGTTCGTGTCCGTTTGTAACGTATCAACGTAACTAGCGTCAGCAACGTACTCAGATATTACGGAAAAACCGAATAAAAGTTTCACATACGGTGAAACTGTGTACGTGCCATCAATTATGCGCAAACACATGGAACGCGATAGTTTCGCGATTTCTTCTTCTTAGAAAAAACTAAAACAACTCGTGCATACGCGATTTCAATGATCGCCAGTGTACCTCGATCGCCTAGAAAGTAACGCTCTACATCGACGACCTTGTTCCTAGGATCTACATAGGCGTCAATCGTATCAAGCATCTATCAACACTAGAATCAAACGTAAAAGCTTTGCTTGAAACAGATAGAGGGAGCTGGCCGCAGTTGTCAACGGCGTACGTGAACAGAAGGCTGGTCGATATGGGGAGAAAGAAAATATACTGGTATAAAATGTCGATCGTCGTGTGTAGTCACGATATATTATTCCATGGTACATACTGGAGAGAACGTTTTACTCCTTGCGTTCCTCTTCTTTCTTATCTCGTACGAAAGAGAGCACAATGACAGTTCGCTCACAATAATGGCAGATGCGCACGACGGGTCTTGTCACGTGGTAAAGGGTAAAAATTACCCGTTTGCACGTGTGCGCCTACTGGCGTTCGTATGCATACTTCTATACACGTGAATCGCGCGTGCGAGTGTGTCGTGTCGGTTGGCTGTTGTGTGTGTGCAGATGTGTGCGTGCGAAACGTACATGTATTGGTGAAGAGTGGTGGCTGTACAAAAACGTCGCAACAAGACGGCGCGTGGACGGTCGCGGCTGAACTGATCGTGGGGGTCGAGCCACAGGTGTCATCAGACGGCGGCTGCTCCACCCCTCTGCCCCCACCCCGGCTCCCTCACCCGCCCTCGTTCCCCCCACTTCGCCCTCATCGCTACTTTCACGCACACGTCTCTGCCGTGGCGGAGGAGACGCGTGCGCACACCAACCGGCTTCTTCTGGAATCAAGCAATATCATTTGCTCGACTCGCGGCGCCTATGAACACCGAACCAACACGGCACGTGCTTTGCATCGCTTCTCTTTTCTAACACGATATCGACAACTTTTTAAAATTCGTCTCTATATATTGCTCGATGGTATCGATGGGAACTATTAGGAAATCAATGCCCGTGATACGACTATTCAGAACGCCATCTGCGAACCTGTTTAAACCTCTCTTATTCATTAACAGCTTCAAGTATTACGTAACACGTGAAGATTCAAAGATACACTATCGATTACAGATATATAGTGTATTTATCGCGTATTTAGATAAATCAGATATTTCGAGTGCTTGGAAGTGTAAGGATCAGCGATAAAAGTAGGAAAAGTTTTTTTACACAGGGAATCGAGTACGAGTGTTCGTAATTCAAATAGATATTTATTCAAAAACCAGTGTATTTCGTGACAAAACATGTAACGTCAGTTACTGACGCAATGCTTATGACGTATTCTCACTCACCCAGTCGCACTCACACGAATTCCTCCCTCTCTTGTGATTTATACTCTTTACTAGCTATATGTATATATATATATATTTTTTTTCTTCTTCTTTATGTTTGCTGTAGAATATTTAGTATTTTTTATTTTTTTGTTTCTCCTATATTCCATTATTCCTGTTTTCATCTCGTACATGTACAATGTGTCATTGTAACGTTAGAACTATCGATAGGTCTAATTACATATACAGTATGTGTGATATGGGCGCCTAGCCACTCTGTTACCTATGCGGTACGTAATTTCCCACGCACCCAAAGTGTTTGTTCTCTGTCGGCGAGCGAATAACTTACGAGGTTTCCCCTTTACGATTCAAACGAGAAATCGAAGAAAAGATTTTTTTCTCGCGGCATGTGTGTGCATAATATATGTATATCGATTCGCGTATTATATATCCTTAAAATGAATAATCGTCCATTTCTAGAAAAATATCTTTTTTTTTTTTTCTTTTCAACGGGCGAAAGTTCGTAAGAACTGTTTTCTCGTCTCTCTTGTAAATGGGAAGGTGAAACTTGTCGATTTCTCGTCACCGGCGGTAAAGGCAAAACTCGTACGATCGACTCGAAATGAAGAAAAAAAAAAAGATTGTTCCGCGAACGAACCGGCAACCTTTCGATCGCCCTCGACTTCGTCGCGTGTCGCTTGTGAGACTCGCACGACCGTCCTGGGAAACGGAAGCGCCACACACTTCACTTCCCTCCTCGTCATACCAGAAAGATTCCCTTCATTTTTTTCTCTTTTTCTTTTTTCGTAAACTGATATTCTTTAAGCATGTGTGCACACGAGAGAGAGAGAGAGAGAGAGAGAGAGAGAGAGAGAGAGAGAGAGAGAGAGAGAGAGAAAGAGAGAGAGAGAGAGAGAAAGAGAGAGCCAGAGCACGTTGCTGTGGAAATCGTTCCGAGAAGAACCCTTTCCCGACACGTCCATGTTCGCTAAACACGCGAAGATATTCATTAATTATGAAAGTTAGTTAGAAAATCGTGGATAATGGAAAGATCTTTCTTGGTGTTTAAAAGCGTTAATTTCTTTTTCTTTTTTTTCTTTCTTTTTTTTTATTTCTCGATCGCGCGAAACATAGAAAATTGTTCGTGAAAGTTGAGACAAATGTAAAAAGTATAATTGTGAACGTCGACTGCGTTGTTTTTTTTCCTTTCTTTTCTTCAACAAGGTAAAAAAGATTGCTTTAATTTTCGAGCGCAATACACCACTCGCGGTGTGTGTGTAGTAACTGTGAATAAAAATGGCCTATATATATATATATATATATTTCGATCGAACTGTAAGTATAGATTACGCCCCGAACCATGCCAACATTTAATGCAAATCTACGTTTCGTTACTAAATCGATTTAGTCTTAACAGTTAATAATTAAAGGGACACTAATCAGGTCCGAAGAGCCTCTATATATCGTAACGTATATATGTATACACTAATCAACACTTGCTTTCTTGTTCTTTTTTTTTTCATTGTTTTCATTTTTTATATAATGACACTAAAGACAGAACGATCCTGCGCTATTTTCGGCTTGCACGTAAAGAGCCACGTCGATGAAAACAAAAAGCCGAAGCAGCGCTAAGCGCAAAAATCCTCCTAATTTATAATCAAAATCATAATGTCCATGGCGATATATCAGAAGTTTCCCAGGACGACTAATTCGATGACGAAAATTGGCCTAGACGCTTTTCACCGTCAGTTTGTTTTTGAATTTTTTACAATGTCATAGTAAATATTTATAAATTACGTCGATTCTTATAATCGTCCCATAATAGGTGTAAGTTTAAAATGTAAAAATTTTTGCATTCTCTACACAAAGATAAAATGATAGGTTGAAAGAGAGGAAAAAAAGAACATAAAAAAACGTCGGCCATTTTGTTTTTCTATCATCTCTGATCGTTCCACTGAACGGACGCTTCTAAAATACTGCCAAAATTCCTTTACAAAATTCGAGAACTTTGTCCCATTTGAATTCTATCATATACACAATTGCACCAATAAAGAATATAATCTATCTTTATTTATTCCCTTCCTTCTAACAACTGTCGTTCTCCTGTACATCGTCCCGTTCGTCGTCAACGTGATTAACCGAATTCCAGTTGTATTGCTATAGAAAAAGTATTCGACGTACTTCGTCGTGCGGTATACTCAAAAGAAAAAAAAAAATTGAAAAAAAAATGAGAGAAAAAGAAATTAGAAAAGCCTTGCTTGAAATGATATCGTAAGGCACATTTTCGACACGTCCCAAGTCTCTCAAGTTTTTCAAGCGTGGGGTGCGTTTTTACGGGATCGAAGTCGGGAAGCGACTCGAGAGATCGACGATTCATAACCCACGCTGTTATGGAGAAAAGTAGCCGCCATGCATTTAAACAAAACGGAAGAAACGAAAAAGAAATGTTGTACGTGTGTATATGCAAAAGGTGTCATCTTGAAAAACATGTAAAAAAAAAAAATGGTACAAGTTCATTGATACTTTACATATTCGCCGTATTAAATAAACGACGAGGCCTGTGTGCGTGTGTGTGTGTGTGTGTGCGCGCGCGCGCGCGTGTATGTGTGTGTGTGTGTACATCGAGGTTACTGCTGTTGTGTTACATACTCAAATCTGTTCATATTTGATCTTTTATCGGTATGAAAAACAACAGAATCTATTTTGTCTTTCGATAAACTGCACTGAATATTCTACTAAAAAAGAAAAGTGTCACGATGCATCTTCTTCAACGATTCGTAGTGGTGTTTTATCCCACTACCTCCTCGACGAATAGCGTACTACTCTTCTCTGGTAGCGACGGGAAACAACGTTAGATATTGCAATAAATATGGTATAGCAAAAGCCTGACGATGCATGCTCCGTTAGAACCTGGCTCTAATGTAAACAGCGGAGGCATCGTGTTCACCATAACCAAGGCGTTTAGCGTGCTTATACACTTCGTTCGCTGCTGCAGCTAGTGGTAATGGTTGTTCCAATTGGTCGCTCATACCTAAAGAGAGTCTTAAGTCTTTTTGCATATGTTGAAGTGGTAACTGCGTCGGAAAACCACCTTCGATGATGGCTGAAAAATTGAACAAAGTTATAGATTACCGTGCAACAGGATATACGTTGCAATTATTACAGTCAATTTAAAAACAGAAAAGCATTGTACCTCTTCCCTTGTCAAGAATGGCGGGACAAGCCAACGATGTCAATTCTAGAACTTCTAGAACATCCTTTTGCTGAAGGCCGGCACGATCCGCCAGGGCCATGCTCTCAGCCAAACCAGCAAGAGTCACGCCTGCCATCAATTGAAGTACGAGGTTCATTTTGGAAGCATTACCGACCTCGCCAAGATAAAAACTGTTTTTGCCCATCGCCTCGAAGCAGGACTGGCATTCGTCGAATAAAGTTCGATCACCAGCCGCTAGGATCACCAAAGTACCCTCTTGTGCCTGTGTTTTGCTACCCTGTACTTGGGCCTCTAAGTAACGGCCACCTTTCGCGGTTATTGCTTCAGCGATATCTTGCGATGTTTCTGCATCTATACCGGTCATTTCCACGTACCCTTTCTCTGGGGATATTTCTGTGAGGACCCCGCAATTTCCAAACACCATCTAAAAAATAATTCATTTTTTTTTTATATTTATGACAGTGATAAAAATATTTTTCGCATACGAGGTGTTTTAAAAGATAAGGCTATACTCACATCTTTGGCAGCTTGAGGATCAGCTACACACGAGAATGTAATATCGGCAGCAAGCACCACATCGGATGGCGTTAAACCCTGTTCTGCTCCTGCTTTTACGAAATCTGCGCACTAGAGAAAAATAATATTGCGTTAAATTTTCAAATATTTCAATTCGAATTTAAATTTTGAATTTTAAAGGTTGTCGTAGGTAATCGATGATTTTATATATCGCGTGTCGTTGATTTTAAGAAATAAAAGATATATTTATAACTGTTGATATATTTTAATGTATATATTCTTTTTTTATTAAGAAAATGAATTCAACGTTAGAGCCCCAGTAGGTTCAGATTCAGCATCTTAGCGACATCACTCGGTGGAATATGATATTATAAGAAAATCTAACGATCGTGACTCCAGTAGATGTCGCCACAACGAACCACTCGCCATTTGCGTCGCCATTCTGGTCACGTACGTTGTCTCAACGGCTTTGAAGCTAAACGTTTCCAGGCTTGCTTGCCACATCAGCAAACGACGCCATTGCATCATCTAAAGATATTTCCCGCATGCAACCAGAAGGTGTATCTACATATTCATTGAGATACAAGGGATTATAAGTTTGTTTAATTTCGGTTATGGTATGAATGGAAATATGATTCAATGTATTTCTAGAAGTTTCTCAACTTTCCAATATCTCGAAAATGTACGGTGAATCGATAGAAAACTTTAATATCGAAATATCCAAGCAAATTATGAAAAAGTAGCTCATTTCTTTCGTCTACATATTTAATATTGTACGAATATAGTAGACAACGGTTCAATAACGTCGAAATTCGTAGTATTTGTGCACCATATTTTATGAAATTTCATCAGAAACGCCTAGCTGGCATGACGCCATTTTTTACATGTAAAACATGGCTCTTTTTTTCTATTTTTCAAGCGAAGTCGACGCCATATTTTCTTGAATATGTAACGGCATCACTTTTTCACACGATCCATATTTTCGTATTAACGAAGTTTCTCTTGTTACAAAATTCGTATTAATTATTCCTATTAAGCTACTGTAATATAATTTACGAGTTAATTATTTGTATCTCTCGGTGAAATATATGCGAATGTAGTTGAAAGCCACCGAAAGGAAATTACAGTATGGACAATTACGCGGCGTATCTTGCTGCCGTGAACGTGGCGAGTCAACAAGCCAGTTAAGTGCTGTCAACAAAGAAGACAAGTAGGTTATACTCTTTCAGTCAATAAACCATCTTTGATCCTTGCAACCCGAGATTTCTCGTAGGATTACAGCAACGATTTGCACTTATTCGAAATAAATTTCAGCTGTCGGACGATGAAAAAGCCAGTGGTATAATGTAAAAAAAGAATATAAAGATTGATTTACGTCTTCTATTGTTTCGTTGCACGTGCGCAAATGTAATTGAGCAGGAAGTGTACATCGATCGTATTCCTGACCTGTATTATTTTGCAGGTCCAATTTATTTGGGTAAGTACAGGACTCTGTTCGTGCAGTGTATAATGTTTCCATCGTGAAAACAGATGTTGAATAAAGAAACACGATAGCCGTACTACACTGTACTGAAAAATCAAGCTACCAATATTACCGCGTTGAACAACAGCGCAACGCGTGAACTGTTTCGAATACAGATTTCATACTTCGAAGATTATTGTATTTTACAGTTATGCTTTTTTTCATTCTCACGGATAAAGCGTTTTATTGTACGATTTGGCGCGTCCCGTCGATCCAAGCCTACACAGGCGGCGGTCTAAATCACAGACGATCAAGGAGCAGCAACTAAATAGGCGTTAAATGGAAAAGTAAAGACCTGAGAGATTAATGGCCAAGGAACCTATCCTTTTCCTCTCTTTTTATGTGTGACATATGCGGATGCAACACCAAGCGATTGTATGTCCTCGCGTTCTCAATTGCTTACATCGTTGCCACGTCCACATTGCAATGTATGCCCAAATTGCAAAATCGAAAAGAAACAGGGACAAATAGTAGACTAGCTTTGTTGCCAATTTTCTAATTTCGAGTATATAACAATGTAAACTTCTTACATATTTATCTGATCGTACAAGAATGTTTGTAAATATTTGCCAACGAATTACAGAGGGCGACACAGTTCTCTGAATTTTATTTCGATAATTTTTAATTTTTTTTTCTTCTTTCTTTTTGTTGACTTTTATTCCTGTGCAAAGAATCGTTTCAAAATGTACTTCCACTTTTCATCCAGACGCAGCAAGAATTCGTAATGGGATATAAACTTTGTGCAAATGCGTGTGCCGATGAATGACCTTGAACCAACTTAACCGACTTGTGTGGCTTCCACGAGGGAAGAAATTCAACGGTTTCCAGCGATGAATACGAGAGAGAGAGACCGTACATATATGACGCAATAGCATTCTGGCTACATCCAATATAAACACATTCCTATCCTGGGACTACAACAACGTTTTACAATGCTGCATCCAAAATACCTTAAATGCCTTCCTCCTATGCGGCAACTTATGTAATTTTCAAATCCCCCGAGTTCCTCTTCGGGAAGTAATACTCGAGTTCGGGCAATTATAAATTCATTAACACTTCTTTTATGACGGTAATTACACGCCTGTACTACAATAACCTGGATAATGTTCTCGTTTGCGTCACGAATACCAACGGTCATGCATTTCGGGTAATAATAACGTGTGCCATGCATAACCATATATAGACTGAGAAACGTTCACTATTCCGCACCATGTGCGAGGATTTCATGCCCACGGTAACACGTGGGTGGATGGTTGCACGCGTTGAACATCGAAACCAGCAGGTTAACCGTTTTGTTCCAACGTCAGTGTGTACAAAGAAAAACACGTACGGCATACCGAATAACAACACACGCTCTATTTAGTTTATTTCGAGATTCTCTTG